CAGGAATGTATCTGCAAGCATGCCAAATTTCCTGAGATTAAGAATAATGCATGCACGCTGGAGAAGAATATCCCTCAGTTACCAAGAAGGAATTTGCAAATTCAGCTACTGCTTCAAACTAAAAAGCTGATCTTTGTTTCAAGCTCATACAATAAATCTGACAATTTCTCAAAAAAAAAAAAAAGAAGAAAAAAAATACTTACTCACTTCCTCAAAATTCAGAAAGATGTCAATTTCAGAGATGTGTGGTTCAATAAAACAGTTGTCTTCAAAAGGAAAAACAATTAATAGATTCTCCAGTTTCTACAACTCATGTTAATGAAAGCACAAGTGCTCCTGTAAGCATGGTGCTTTCCACAGGATTATAGGAGAAAAGTCTTTTGGAAATTCTTTAAATCACTGGCAGAACCTCGCTAAAGATAGCCTAAGGTATGTTTTTTACTTCACCAAGCAATTCAAGTGTTAAGTCAGAAGAGTTCATGCTGCCTAAAAATAGCAGCTTATGCAGAAAGCATTGGCCCAATAAGCTAAGGTTTTGAGTTTTGATTCTCCCAACTATCCCTGCATTTGCAGTATGTAAGCATCCCTAGAACAGTAATAACGACCCTTCACTCAAGGTTTAATTATCTTGGAAAAGCATTAATGGCAGCTACCAAGGGATCTTTTAAAACAGGCTCAGCACAGTCCAGATCATCTCTTCCAGCATTTACAATGTTTTAAAACCCCAACAGACAAAATAACTTTCACACACCTGGATGCTACCACATGAAACTGTTAAACAGAATTACCAACACCAGATACTTCACATTCTGAGTGAAGTTTAATTCAGATTTATGAGTTAAAATAATTAAAAAACCCCAAATTAAACGTTAATACATTGTGCTTTCACCCATATAACCCACACCTCATGTAAATCAGCACATCTTTCAAAATACTAATGTATTAAATCAAACCCTAAAAAACATGCATTACATCAGACAAGGCAGAAAACATCTGGATAGAAGGAACAGATTACCGGGGGTCACAAGCAGCAGCAAAATGGCAACTTAAAGAAAAGAAGGAAAAAAAAAAGGTCCAGGATTCCTCTAATGTCCTCTGACATTATTTTGATATGCATATACATCTCATACCGGTGCTGAACTGGTTTTTTATTTAAGTAATACTAGTGTTACGTAGACAGAAATGCAGCACTCAAAGCACATCCGAGCATGCCTAATAAGTCTCCAGCTTCCAAGTGTCTTTCAGGACACAGCACACGCCACTGCTACAGCCGTCCTCGGCACTCTGCAGGAAAAGGATTCAGGTGCAACAACTCCACCATCTTCTAATAACTGCGTTTTCTCCTTATAAAAATAATTCTATCCTGTGTTATTAAACAAACAGCATTCCATCTTTCCAGCTGGCATAGCAATAACCAAGTTCAAAACAGCTGTTCTCAAATTAACATTTGCCCTTTTCCCTCCACCTGCCCAGCTGTGGAAAAAACTTTGAATCAATCTTCAAGTTTACTACACTTGGAAAATACTTTCTAGAGACCCATATTTTTGTTGCCCTATTGCAAGTTCTGAACAGCTTAAACTGACAATGTAACCATTCCCGTATGATTTAATTAAATACTTCCAGGTTACTAGAAGCTACTATATGAAAAAAACACACTAAACTAACACATGCAGGATTTTCAACCTCTTGATACAGAGTAAGATTCTTATCGATACTCCATCAGGCAGAGAGAACACAAAATTGGAAGTAAATACAGTACCAACACAAGAAAACACAGAAGTACTCTCTTGGTCTATTCAGCAAAAAGTACACTTAAACACTCACTGACATTCACATTTGCTTTTAAGGTTTCCCCTCTCTCTAGCTTAATGGTCTCTCCCCCTCAGGCTAACTACTGCTAGGATTTGCTCTTTCTGCAGTGCTGGTGCTAGTTGTCATGGTCTCACCTGATCATTGGTGAGAACAAGGCCACCAAAAAAAAATTATACATATACAGGATAAAGGACTGTGGTAAAGAACTATAAGTCTTCTTCATCTTCTGCTTTGACATGATTGACCACATCATCCTTTTACTTCACTACCATTCATTTTCTCAACAAGATATTGACTCGCTCAGTTAGACCTCTCTAAACATTTCTGACAAATATTCAGCATAAGATACATCTATATGATCACTGCATTTCTTACCCCAGTACAAACACAGTAAAGTTTTCATTCCAGTTTAGAAACTTCTCTCACCTAGTTTTCACAGTCACCAGGTATAGATACTGTATTTACAAGAAAACCAAATGCTTCATGAATAAAGAAGATATTCTTGCATAAATCCCTTAAAGATGAGAATTATACAGCTTCGTTTTGTGCATTGTACAAATCACAGGCATAAATAACCTCACTAAAAAGATCTTTTCCTTAAACTTCTCTTGCAAAATTCACAACGTAATTAAAGTTCAGTTTAGCCTCTGAACTTGGCCACTGCCTTGTGAGTGACAGATTTGCAAGATAGTTGTAATCAAAATTAATGATTTTCAAGCTCTGAGCTTAATTGTAATAAAATACTTTAGGGGGAGTAATTAAAATGAAGTTATTGAAGACCGCATTAGGTACAGTC